GGGAAGTTGTCCTTAGGACAGGCTTTATTCAAGTCACTGAAGTTGACACACGTTCGCTACTCCCCGTTTGGCTTCCTTATCAAGACAGGATTTGACACCCATTCTGGGTATAAGACTTCTCGGATGAAGTTGTTCCTCATGAGCTTGTCCACTTCTACCCGCAGGGCTTCGGACTTCTCGGTGTTCATTGGTCGACGCTTCTGCCTCTTTGGCGGGAACTTATCGTCGATGTTTAGTCGGTGACACATGACGTCGGGGCTTATCCCTTCCATGTCCTCGTGGGACCAAGCGAACACGTCGAGGCTTCCCTTGAGAAACTCGACCAATTTTTCCCAGTTCTGTGCCCCCAACTCCGAGCCTATCCTCAGTGTTCTCGTTGGGTCACTTTCATCGATGGGGACCTCAATTAGTTCCTCGACCGGTCCTGCTCCGGGCTCTTCTCCTGGGAACCTTGGATCCAAGTCGAGTCCCTTTCCCCTGGTATCGACCATTCGCAGCTCTCTCTGTACCTGAGTCGGCTCGGCGTATTGGCGGACGGTTTCTGAGTATGTGAGTCTTGACTCGTACTGGTTGCCTCTGACCTTACCGATCTCGTTTGGCGCGGGGAACTTCATCACCTGATGGTAGATGGACGTTACCGCCCGCAGGGCCCTCAGGGTCGGGCGTCCGATGACCGCGTTGTATTGGTCGCCTCCCTTCACCACTAGGAACTTTGACATAACGGTCGAGGTGTGTGGTCGGTCACCGATGGTCATTGGCAGCTCGATGGCCCCTTTCGGGATGACGCTGTCTCCCGTGAACCCGTATAGTGGCTGGGCACTATTCTGTAGCCTTGAGCGGGGAATCCCCATCTTGTCGAGGCAGTTCGCGTACAAGATGTCCATGGAACTACCGTTGTCGACCAGGACACGGCAAACAATGTGGTTATCGATCATGGCCTTGACGACCAAGGCATCGCTCTGGGGGAAATGTACCCCCCTCGCGTCGGCTTCTGAGAAAGTGATCCCGGCGTTGGCATATCGCGCGGCCTTAGCCTCGCGTCCAGAGACATTCATGATCCTCTGGCTGAACTTCTCCTTCGCCTCTCGAGCGTACTCCTTCTGTGTGCGTCGAGAGGTACCACTGAGGTATGGTCCCCCGAAGATCGTTCTTATAACGCTAACTGGTTCGGGCGGGTTATCGCGCCTCTGCTCGTCCCGTCGGTCGTCGTTGCGCCTGTTGTTATTCCGGCGGTCGGCTCGGTATTCGCCTAGCCCCCCTTCCCGGATCAGCCTCTCGACCTCATCCCTCAGGTCGTAGCACTCAGCCGTGGTGTGACCACTCTCGCCGTGGAAACGACAGTATTTGTTCTGGTTTCTCCGTGCCGGGTCAGACTTTAGGGGTGGAGGTCGACGCAGGACCTGGAGATGGCTTATCTCGTGGTAGACGTCCTCGATCCCTATAGTCAGGGGAGTGTAGGCATCGTACCGTTGCGGCTTGGGCCGCTTGGTCTCCCCCTGGCTCGTCGAGGCGTTGCCGCCCCTGTTGCTCGGAGCTGGGTTGTACCTTGGCTCGGCTTGCACCTGAGGACCTCGGCGCTTCTTGCCGTTGTTCTGACAGCTAGCCTGCCCTACCTCCTCCTTGGCAGGGGTTGCTGCCTTGCTCTTTAAGGCCTTTTTGGCCTCCTCGGCGTTTATGAACCCCTGCGCCCTTGTCAGGAATTCCCGATAGGTGTGGGGCGGCCTTTGGTCGAGGTCTGTGCTGTAGGGGATGTCCTTCTTCATGCTGGACAGCGCCCCCATCAGGGTCACTTCATCAGAGATTCCTTCAGTGGCGGTGACCTGTTCCCCGAACCGGGCTATCCAGTCCTTCAGGGACTCGTTAGGTCCCTGGTATACCCTCGACAGGTTCTGTTTTGGTAGGATGTATTTCTTGACACCTATGAACTGAGTCAAAAAGGCGTTCTTCAAATCATCCCAGCTGGTGATGGAGTTTGGTTTGAGGGACCTAAACCATCTCCTCACGAAATCGGAAAGGTGATTCATGAATGCCCGGCACATCACCTCCTCGGGGTATCCATGCAGGACCATGTGTCCTGTGTACACCTCTAAGTGATTGTCCGGGTCACTCCTCCCGTCGTATAACGGAATGGGAGGCGACTTGTACTTGTTGGGAAGTGGGACCCGGATGATGTTTTCCGTGAACGAGTGGTCGTGAGACGTATACATCTTGGCGTCGACGTTAACTGCCTCGGCCACCTTTCCCATAACCTGTTCAAAGTTGTTCAGTCGACTCCCCATCTGCTTCTCCAGCCTGGCCATCTTCTCGGCCAGAGCTTTATTTTCTGCTGCGAGCTCATCTTCCCTCGTCAGCTGCACGGCCTTTCCACGTCGGGCGTCGACCCTTGCCCTCAGGTCCCTGCCATGCACCGACGTGGATCCCACGGGGACGACATTCCTCCTAGGTGGATCCTGTTGCGGTCGAGGGGGTGCATCTCTGTTGTCCACAGCTGGCGCCACAGCCTTCTCCCGCGCTCTCCTCCGTGTCGCGCGTTGCCTGCTCCCTACAGACCTATTCGACTTTGACGAGCGTGGATCACCCGCTCGACTATCAGCGACTTCCTCGGCGTCACCGCGTCGGTCGCCAATCACTTGGCCCCCAATAGTGGCGTTCACCGGGTTCACCGGCGCATCCTCAAGCGGTGGCACTGGGTTCTGCCCTTGTTCCCGCCCAGCCAGGGCCGTAGCCATTCTTTCCACAGCTGTGGCCAGCGTTTCGACATGCTTTTGGAGCTGGTCGATACGGTCTGGGGGAGTCGCGGCCGCCGGTGGAAGGGGATCCGTTGAGGTCCCTGCGGTGGTGGTATTCCGGACACGCTTGCCGGGAGGCATGATGACAGTTTCTTTTGGTTCAAAGCTGGGTTAAATTTCTGGGGTTGAGGCCCTCTTTCTAGCGCCAATTGTTGACGGTGCTTTTCCGGCAACTCGTAATTACCTCTCCGGGAACGCTCACGGTTGCGCTAACCACTGAATCAAGTAATAAGTGGCAAAACAATATAGAATAGACAACGATTTTATAGTGGTTCGGCAATAATTTTGTGCCTAATCCACTTGTGCATGCACTATTTTCTCAGATGTTTACAAGTTTTCTCTCTGTAATACTAATGGTGTCTAACCCTTTTCTGGGTTTCGTTCGTTCTATTTATAGGCCTCTACATGCGATTACATATTCCCGGCTCTCAAGGAGGAAGCCATCTTCTGTTCTCGATCCTCGTGAGGGTAGGTGAGTTTTCATGATGACTTTTCCTGGAAATACGGCTGATCCTCTCAACCTGCCGCCTGATTTCCTGACTTCTGCAATAGCAGTCGGATCAATACTTCCCTCCTCGGGTTGACATTACTTCTGGCAAAAAAGACCGACAATGTTCTCTCGACGCAGCGGTCTCAGCACGTAGAGCCCTCGCCTGGCGCCTCTCCTCTTGCGTGATCTCTCGACGCATAGGGCACGTTTGCTACGCCTTACTGTCGATGCCAACAGCCGATCCTCCGTAGGGAATCCTCGGCGTCGGTCGTTCGAAGGAATGGTCGATGTATGGTGTAACAAATTTCAACTTTAGTACTTTCAAAGTTTATAAAGGAATTAAATAAATAAATATATATATATATATGTTAAAGAAGTGAGATTTAAATGCACTATTCATGTCCATTGCCGGAAGAACTTGCTGGGGGAAATTCCTTTCATTCCTCACATAAGGATTAGTTATTAAGATCATTGTGGAAAAAATTACATTTTGCTATATCCTTTCCGGTCCTGCTAAAATTCTGCACTCTCAAATTTCTTTTTTCTTTCCCCTTTCGCCCTTTCTGCTTAGCTTGCTAAGAGAAGGGAAAGAAATGAGCAAGAAATAAGAAACTATTTCTTCATCCTATCTCCGCCTTTCCTTAGAGAAACGGGTACTGGGTGGTGAGGTTCACAATTTAGATTTTTTTTTTTTTGGTTCTTCATCCATCTTCTATAAGGAAGGAGAGAGGGGCCTCCTTCCAGCTCTGAATCGTGCTGAAATCCAGTTCTTATCCATGGGAAATCTTCTTCAAAGGTCTTCTACAGATAGTCGTATGGAATTTATTTTGATGGTTTCTTTTTGTAGACTGCAATCACTAATTCAAAGAAGATTAAATGAAAGAAAACTACGAAATGACTTGTTTGATTTAACTTAACTGTTGGCTTTACAATGGAGTTCAACAATAGAAGGAAGACACTGAAAATGTTGTGAGTGAGTTTTTTAGAAAGTAATAATTAACTTCTCATTCGTTTCATTAATTTAAATTTTATTATAATAAAAAATTTTTAAAAATAATTATATTTAATGCTCTAAATACATGAGATTTGTGAGAACTGAGAATGCAAAATGAATGGGATGAGGGGAAGACGTAGAACTCTCTTTTATTTCGGGTTTTTTTTTTTTTTTTTTTCAGGGATGATTGACCAGAAAGGGAGAAAGGAACTTGGAAGAGAGATACAAAGAGAGAGGTTTTGGGTGCAGTTGATCTTATTTTTGGATATGATTTCATTTTGTTAACACCGTTTTGAATCTCATTACATTCCTTATCAATAGTGAAAAGCAAGCGTCCACTACTATAGAATTCCGCATTTATTAAAACCAATTACAATACTTTCAACGATAAAGTGCTAAATGCAAGGAAAAAAAAAAAAAAGAGTTCATCTTATTAATAATTAGAGTTAATTTTTTAACTTAAAAAAAATAATTAGAGTTAATTTCTCCCTTACAAAGAATAGAGGCAACATTACTTACTAGTTTGAAAATACAAAAACTAAAGACTATACAATAAAAAAAAGAAAAAAAAAATACTAAAGTCTAAACTGTTGAGAAAAAGTCGCAGGGGGTGAAAGTGCCGAATTACGAAAACAAGAGGGACACAATTCTAAAACTTTTTTTTTTTTTTTTTTAACCTTTGTTTTCATTAGCTGGAATTGATTGATAGAGTGGAGTAAAGCGTAGAAGCATTTCAAGCTTAGCTTTCAAGTGTTTTGAGCTTCTTCTTCAGCAACAGATCTGTGGCTCTAGATCTAATCGAGTAAAGAAAGAAACAAAACAATGAAAAAGAAAAATCGAGAGAAAGAGGAAATGAGGCACGGTGGATCGAGAAGGAGGCGGGCTTCGATACGGTCGTTTGTAGTGGCCTGCGCGATGATATTTGGCGCCACGGGCCTGTTGATGCTCAATCTGAGAGCCGTTGATCCTCCGACGGGTCCCACTATTCTCACGAATCGAGATTCCGATCCAATTTCTAGAAGCTCCGGCGATGTCGGAAACGGAACTCAGACTCAGGCTCAGACGACAAAAAGAGGAACGAGGCCGTGCGCGACGGTGGAGGAGATGGGAGAGCACTTCAATGGAGGATTCTGGAAAGAGAGTCTTAGAGTCAGAAGAATTATTCTTCGACATTTTTCTCTCAGTGGTACTTTTCTCTTTCTTTTCTTTTTTGAACATTGTAGCTTTCGTTTCAGAGTAGTAAGAGGATTGTCGAATTGGTAATTGTATTTAATTAGGAATTTTGCTTAGTGTTCCTGTTCCAACAAAAACACAAAAGGAAAAACTAATACTTTGTTTATTAGTTGAAGAACTTGAATATACGTATGTGTGTGTGTGTGTGTGTGTGTGTGTGTGTGGAAGGATAGTCTTAGATATTATTTTGTTAGAATGCGATTCAATTAGCAATTTCTTTTCCTAGTCTTAGTTTATAAGCATCAACTTCACATCTTGTTCCAATATATATATATATATATATATATATATATGGATGAGTTCTCAATGGTTACATTTTTGTTTGTGGTTACTCCAATCTTATTAATTGTCATACATGTTTTTGGTCAACTACTGACAATTGAATGTTAGATAAATTAATTGTTTCTATGCTCTGCCTGAAAAACGAATAATCATTATGCAGAGATAAGTACATTGATAATTCACTTTCCTTATGCTAGAACTAGATAGAGCTTATGCTTTTGGATGTTGATAGCTATATTGTCACGTGCCCTGTAAAATTTTCATTTCTGAATAAGAGATCGTAGAACTATTAATGTGTGGTTATTGTGTTAGATTAGAAGAATTGGATTGAGTAAGAAATTTTGCTTGGTGAACCAAAAAATATGGTTTTTTTTTTTGGTGGACTAACAAATTCTTTAGTTGCTGACTATATTCTCATGTGCCACGCCTTGTAAGCTCTGGCATCGGTGGCCTGTGCTTCCTTAGATCAAACTTGTGAGGGATAAATCGCATTCTTGCATTCCAATTTCAGGTGCAACGAGAGTCCGAAATCTTCCTCCCGAGCAATTCTGCCGACATGGTTTTGTGTTGGCCAAAGCATCACAGGCAGGCTTTGGCAATGAAATGTACAAGATTTTAAGTGCTGCAGCATTGAGTATAATGCTAAACCGGTCGCTGATCGTTGGGCAAACCAGGCATATTGGTCCTTTCTCAAGCCTTTCTGTTACGTTTTAAATTGTCTTTTTCAAGGAGTAAAAAAAAAAAAAAAAATCCTAGGAAAAAGATGGTGTTGGGACTTAACCTGACACGTAACAACCGTATACCTCTCATTTGAAAAGTTTCTTGGCATGTACCATCACTCAGTGCTGTCGTGCAGTAGTCTTATGTGGATATTTGTGGTCTCATGAAATGGCTAATAAGCCTAAAAAAGGCATATCCTTGCTTGTATCTCTGTTTGGGTTTTAGATCAGATGTGGACATAGTGCGAAAGTGCTGCCATTTATGCTTTTACTTTGTGCTGATTGCTCTTCTTACATTTTTCAGGGAAAGATTTCCATTTGGGGATTACATTTCTTACTCCAACGTTTCCTTTACTTTGAAAGAAGTCAAGCATCTCTGGAGACAGAATAAATGCGAGAAAAAGTTTGGAAGACGTCTCACTATAAGGACTGATAATTTTGAGAAGCCAACACAGACTAATGTTCTTTGTGGCAACTGGAAGGCATGGAAACAACCCATCATATGGTAAAATAAGAACTTTTCCATATTTCACAAGTCCATAAGGTAATTACAAAGCAGTAACCTCTGTACTGCAGGTTCCAAGGCACAACAGATGCTGTGGCAGTTCAGTTTTTCTTGAAGAACATACACCCTGAGATGAGGAGTGCTGCTTCTGATTTATTTGGACAGTCAGAGGTTCTCCAATCCCGTCCTAATGTATTTGGGGAACTGATGAGGGTCCTCATATCTCCTTCAAAGAGCGTTGAGGAAGCTGTAAATTGGGTTCTTGCTGGTGGAGCTGATCCTGATATTTCATTGCACATGCGGATGCTTATGAACAAGTATAGCAATAAAACTCCAAGTTCTCTTATTCAAATTTTGTCTTTGTAGTGTGAGCACTGAGTAGGAAAAAGTATGCATCCACCTATGTGGAGTCATATGGGAAAAGCAGACCATCAAAAGTGGCTCATGAAACCAACATCTAGTTATGAATTAAATTTGGAGCATATTCATCTCGTAAAAGCTCTGAAACTCATTATTTATATTGGGAATGCTGCATGTTGTGTGTACTTAAAGAGTGTGACCTTGAGCGATTAATGATGCAAGTTCTTGCATTCTATATTTCAGGTCTGTAAGAGCCTTACAGGCAGCTCTGAACTGCATTAAAAAGGCCACAAACAATCTTAGCAAGACCTCAAAACCCAGGGTGGTCGTAGTTTCAGATACTCCCTCCCTTGTGACAAGCATTACACCGGATATTATTAAATTTGCTGAGGTAGTTGTCTGGTGTGCCAATCATGTTATAAACACCCAATTATTACTTCCAACATCATATATAAGCCTCCTATGTAATTTTGAATCGGGGTCATCATACTACCTTTTGAATTCAGACTTTGTTCATATTTTTATTTGGGGCTAAAGACCATATCCGTTTTTTGCTTTTCTTTGACCTAAGCTATTTATGTCTAATTTACTTTCTATCATGAATGACTTGTGCTTTTTGTAGGTACTTCATTTTAATTATGAACATTTTAGAGGAAATATATCAGTGCGTGCCAATAGTTTGCAAGGTCCAGATTTTAGAGTGAAAGATTGGGGTCCGGCACCCAGATGGGTTGCCTTTGTGGACTTCTTTCTCGCTTCACGAGCAAAACATGCTGTTGTTTCTGGAGCTCATAGGCGTGTTGGAACCACCTATGCCCAATTAATTGCAGCGCTTGCCGCAGCCAACAGTTTAGGTACTTCTAGCTCCACAAAATCCGTCTTTTATTTTATGTAATCCTTATGGTGCAATTTGAGTTTCTCGGCAGAAAAAAAGTCCATTTAGATAGGTGGATCATTACCTAGATGATATAACAATAACACAATCAATAATATCTCACATTATAAAAGGTTTTTGAAGCTTCCTTAAAAGCCAGTTTAAGCAATAATAAAGTACCTCGTACTTTTCCCTAGGAAGTGAAATTCCTTGTCGGGTAAGTTCCAACTTAAGGCTTCATACAATTTGAAATATGAACATGAAGAAATAAGTTTGCCTTGTCAAATCTGAATAATTTCTATTTTTCTTTGTCAGGTGATAATGCCACTAGTTCTAGTTTCTCTTTCTTAAGCAGCTTCCAAAGGAACTTGTTGAGAGAAGGTTTGAGGTTTCAGATTGGGTGGGGACATGTCTGGAACAGATTCGCGGGTCTCCTGAGTTGTCACAACCAGCCTCACCAATGTGCCTTCACGCCAGTTCTCCCTCCAGCATGGTGGGATGGCCTATGGCAATCCCCACTTCCCCGGGATGTGCGTAGGTTGGAGGATTTCGGGGTCCAATTGTCTGGCTTGGGTACGATTGACGAAAGTCATCTTCACTCTTTCTGTAATTCAAGGAAAAGTGTTGTGAAAGCAATTCCAATACCATTGTGATAGGCATTGCATCTTATACCTTCATTTTTTGTGTAACCATAGTGACTATGATTATGAGCAAACTTGCTGTTATCTTTCATGCCCTCTCATTTCATCCAATATATTCCAGCAATTTAAGACAATGATTTTGTGGCACGCGGCTGTTTTCTATCAACCTCACACGGGTCCCACAATATATATGCGGGGGAGGGAAAAAAAAGAATAAGAAAGCAGAAAGAAAAAGAAAGCTTGTAAAAGAAACAAAAAAGAAAAAAGAAAGATTGCCCGTTCATTTTGCCGATTCGAGTTTAGAATTCGAGTTTTGCTACAGTAAAAAGCTCTCAGAAACGGTTAAATTTAACTTTTTTGTTACAGTAAAAAGCTCTCACACAAAATCACATCTCAACTCACATTACAAATTCGAATCAGCGAAGTGAATGGGCTCATGACTGAAGTTTTTCATATTTTTAAATAGATTATTGTACTAGATGGAAAAATTTTATCCCGTGAGTTGAAATTTAACAAAAATTTTAAAATATTATAAATATAGCAAAAATTACATACTGTAGTTATTATCATAATGATGTTATATTTTGTACTATATAATGATTAGTCATTAAAATAATGATATCAAAATTTTCTATTCTTGTAATATTTTTAGAATTTTGCAATATTTAAATCTACTATTCAAATTTTACTATGTGTGTAAAGAGCCCAATTTTTAATCCATAATCTACGAGGAGAAACTTCTTTTTATATCAGGATTTATAGGTTAGCACGAGATGGATGTGGATGCCCATTGGTAAGACCACATTTTAGAAATCCTTCCTTGTCTTGTTTTTTTCAAGAAAAAAAGGGTATGAGATGATCAATGATGGTAGAGAACCAAATTAATTGAAAATTTGATTACAGCCTTAATTATTATAGAATGTATAACTCAGACTTGATAAAATCTAAATATTAGTCAATTGATAAAATATTTCTCATCGTCATTATTAGTTCCTAAAGCTCCCTCGCAGTTTTTCACGTCTTCTAATTTCTAACTGCTATAACGACCAATTATTTTATTATATTTTTACTCATATATATGGTATGTTTAAGAAATGGACTAATGAGAACTAGTAAAGTAAACCTCGTTGGAGAGGAAAAAAATAACGAAGATTAAAAAGAAAAAAAAAAGGAAAGAAAATCACTGCGCAAATCTACGAAATGGTGATCGTACTGGGATGGAACTGATTGAAGAATATATATATAATATTTATAGTAATATAATATTTATAGTAATATATGCATATCCACGTAGGAAAATCCAAAAGAATACATAAACTATAAAATGATGATCTGATGAGAGAGAGAGAGAGAGATAGTTGATCATAAGGATCAGTTCCAAGCTAAAAAATAAAAGAAAAATAAAGAAAAGAAAGAATATTGTTGTTAGAATTCAAAAAAAGTATAATTCACGTATCAAGTGTCCATCCATTGAGGAGGTAATATATTATCTTGCTTTGGTAGTTCTTGCTTCTTCTTCTTCTTCTTCTTCTTTATCTCGTTTGTTTCTTTGTTTTGTTCTGCCTTTGCTGTTTCTTCATGATATTATCGTTATTTATCATTTTGCATTACAGCCAAAATGAGTCTCTGCTCATGTTTCTGGTCCAAGAAGAATAAGAAGAAAGACGACAAGAAGGTCAAGAACGATGAAGAAGATGACGTCAACGTTAATGAGGAACAAGATCAGTCTCCAGATCAGCAGAATGTTCCAGAAGTATCATCTTCCGCTGAGCAGAATGTTCCAGAAGTATCATCTTCCGGTCAGCAGAATGTTCCAGAAGCATCATCGTCCGGTCAGTTCTTCAGTTTGCATTTCTCTCAAACCATTTCTTCTTGAACCAATGAACATGAATTATATATTGATATATGACATGTTTTTGTTTTATTGTTTCTTTAATTTTGATCAATTTGCTAACGTTAAAGTACAAGTTCCAAAACGTTTTTCTTTCTTCCTTAACCATACTTCAATTTCGTTTATTTGACTGTCTTGCACTCTCAGTGGATGTAAATTAACTAGTTTTGTTCAACTTTTCATAATAGTACTTTCGTATATAACTAGTATTAATTTTCATGTTAACTCATTAATAGATTTTTCTATGCATGATATACCAGTTTTCAGTAGTCAAAATTACTTCTTGATTCTATTATAGTATTTAATAATTAAAATTACCCAGATTCTAAACAGTAGATCTCTGTATGTAGAAACGTATCTTCTTGAAGCGAAAATCTTAATCACTGTTGTTCTTTTAACTTCAAGAACCAAAGGGATGTGAATCTTGTTTAAAGTATTGAGTTGCTTAATCCATGAAAGATAGTAGAGATGAGAAAAAAGAAATTGTTCAAATCAAATAGCTATATATATCACACACACACAATCAAATAGCTATATATAAGGTAAGAACTCAGTCAAAAGAACTATTCAATCTTGATCCTTAAATCGAAACATTTTGAATCTCATTCTATATATTGTTGTATATCCTTACACTAACCTGTTTTGAGTCGCGATATATATTCAAATTATAACTAAACTGGTATTATAAGTAATGTCTTCCTTGCACTTTTGGCGTACTAGTACTAGAACTTCTGTTTGTTTTATGGAACACTGGAGATCTCAAAGAAACATGTTTGGATTAGGACCAAGCGATGTCGTTCCTAACACCGATAAAAAACGTGCTCAACTGTTCACCTACTCGGAGCTTGTTTCCGCGACAAACAATTTCAAAACCTTAATTGGGGACGGCGGATTTGGAGCTGTATACAAAGGGAAGTTGGATACAGATCAGGTGATCTTTCTCACATACTTAGTTCAATAAAATAAAATGATATTCATTCGTGATTAATTAATGGTAAGTTTTACGACTGATTAACAATTAATTTGAGTTGCATGGTTCTATTGAAGCAGGTTATTGCCGTTAAAAGACTCGATAGGGAAGGTCCACAAGGAGATAGGGAGTTTCTAGTGGAATCTCACATGCTTTGTGTCCTAAGCCATCCTAACCTTATCACTTTGATTGGTTACTGCTCTGAATATGACCATCGTCTTCTTGTTTATGAATACATGCCTTTAGGCTCCTTGGCTGATCACCTTTTTGGTAATTTCTTTAAAAATAAAAAATACAAAAAGAAAAAAACCCTTTTTCTCATGTCTCTTTGATAATTAAGCAAAACTCATTTTCTGTAATATCATCATTCTAAATTTGTGCTATGTATTGGATTATATATATATGTATGTATATATATATATATATATGCAGGTTCTATAAGTAAGAAGGAGCCACTTGATTGGAATACCAGAATGAAGATAGCAGTTGGTGCAGCCAAAGGGATGGAATATCTTCACCACAAAGCAGACCCACCAGTGATATATAGGGACCTAAAACCATCAAACATATTATTGGGAGATGGGTTCCACCCAAAGCTATCTGATTTTGGGCTTGCTCACTTTGGCCCAACTGGAGAGAAGGACCATATCACCACCAGGGTTGTAGGAACCCATGGTTACTGTGACCCAGAATATCTCTTATCTGGAAAGTTGACAATTAAGTCTGACATCTACAGCTTTGGAATGTTATTGCTTGAGCTGGTCACTGGACGCCAGGCCCTTGATGACTCCCAGGGTCATATGGAATTTCTCATTGGCTGGGTAATTAACTTTACTTTATTCTAAGTCAACATATTATTAACTATATATTAAGTAGATCAATCATACGTAGAATCCATCTTATACGTGACTTCTTTGTAGTGTCACTTAATAACATTGCTCTTAAAAATTTGTTTTATGTACATAAATGTAGTTTCGAACATGTTTAAACTTTAAAGTAATATTATTGTATCCGACGCCGCAACTCATATAAGTGTAGGACCCACATACCAACCACGTGCATGGCTCGTGCTTATTTTTAATTTCTTTTTTCTTCCTTAATTTTCAGGTAAAACCCTTAATGGAAGACAACAAGATGGGGCAAATAGCAGATCCTAGGCTGAGAGGTGAGTTCCCAGAGGGTTCATTGGAGAAGGCCTTGAACTTGGCTGCAATGTGTGTCCAACAAGATGCCACACTACGTCCTGGCATGACCGATGTGGTGCGCAGTTTGATCGAATTAGCATCTCATAAGTACGAGAAAGTAGTAGTTGATGATGACAAAATTACACAAGTGGCTGATGAAGGATCTTCAACAACAAGCACTAGGTTGGTTTTACGCAAGAAGGGCAGATTGGAGCGAGGGCGGGAAGTGGCTGAGGCCAAGAGTTGGGGAGAGAGTAGCAGACAAGATAAACAAAGGCATATATAGCACAACAACCTCACCCATTATTATATATATTGACCTAATAATTTATAGTTGTGTATATATATTAGTACTGTATTATTATAAGTTGGTAGTGGCATTGGTTTAGAAAGGAGGGATATAGTCATGAGTAAGAGAATTCCCCAACTCATTTGAGGTATATATTTCATTGAGATCTATGTTAATTGTGCATATATAGTACATTTTTGGGAGGGGCACATTTATATAATGTTCATATTGAAGACAAATGACAGTACACTTGCAAATGGAAATGAGAGTTTTGAGAAATATATACCTTATTCCCGAAGCTACTGTTGAGTATACACAAGCAAATTGCGATCTTCCCTTTTAGCCTTTCCCATATTTTGTTACATGTCTTCAGACAATGAACTGCTATAAATCATGGTTAGTGAGATCCCCAAAGTATTGGTGTGATGGTGTGATGTATATTTGAACAATAACTTTACGTGTATTTTTTAGACAAAATTGAACAACAACTTTATAAGAAAGCCAAAGACGATCTCGTTTCTGCATAAAAACGAATAAAAGAGGGAGGGAGGGAGGGAATAAGTTTTGTTTCCTTCTTTTATTGAAATATGGGATAATATTAATACAAAGAGAGCAATGAACAGCAAATCGGTTCTCGGTTGTTTCCTTCTTTTATGTTGTTGTTTTTTCACCCTCACAAGTAAAAAACAAAACAAAAGGGGTCTACTATATTAAACATGAGTACTTACTTATTATATACATGTTTAATTTTTTTAAAATAGTAATGAGTACACGTATCTTACTAGATGTTAAATAAGATTTTTATTTATGTGCTTTTTTCATTACGTTCATTAAGCAAGGTAATTAAAACTTGCTTTGGGAAACAAAACAAAAGGGGTCTACTATATTAAACATGAGTACTTATTATATACATGTTTAATTTTTTTAAAATAGTAATGAGTACACGTATCTTACTAGATGTTAAATAAGATTTTTATTTATGTGTTTTTTTCATTACGTTCATTAAGCAAGGTAATTAAAACTTGCTTTGGGAAATCACAGGGCCACCTTAAGATGCATAATTGTCAGTGGAAAGAAAAGAGGTTGGGCACACATGACTACACAAAGCCCAATAAGAAATCAATTAAATATATATATATATATATATATGTGTGTGTGTGTGTGTGTGTGTGTGTTTGTATAGAATGACACACAACTACTCATCATCATTGAGATTGAGAGTTACTGTAAGAGAGAATAGGGGGGTCATCATTCTTAGCTGCGTAGCATCAATTTTATACTCACCTCTTTTTTCTTTCTTTTTTTTTTTTTTTTTTTTTTTTTTTTTGGGTGTATTTTTTTTTTTTTGGGTGCATATATGCTCTTTATTTAGCTCATATAGGGACTCTTTTTGCAGAATTGCTCCCCATAAGGTTTTGGGTGGATAAAGTAAGTTATATGCAATTTGACCTTAATAGAGCCATAGCCAATTCTTCTCATACTTCATCTTCTAATTTTATCATTTTTTTTATTATGAACGAAATGGATGAAAGTGTAAACAAAGAAGGGGAAAATAACCGATAATGAAGTTTGTTATTTTGCTTGCCTCATTTCTAAGCAAAAGTGAGCATCTTTAGGTTTATGAAAGGGAAATTAACAATTTTTCAAGATTCAACCGGGGACATTTTGTCACCAAATTGTCTCGTTGCAATGTGGCAGGTCAATATAAGGTGTTCTTTTTAGTTAAAGAAAAATCTCTTTAATGTCCCAATCCATGCATGGATGATGGATCACATGTATCTATTACACGAGTGAGTCAAAAAACAAAAAGAAAGCATTGGATAAAAAAGTAAATTTTTAGGGGATAAAAAGAAAATAATTCTATATGTAGCACACAAAAACACGTATTTACATGAGGAAAATGATTTTGAGATTATCTAATGTTTAAAAATATGCAACATCACTAAGGCCAGTTTGGTAGTGCTGTAGATTTAAAAAAATATATTATTAGCTGTGTTGAAAAAAAATAACTGTTACAAAAAATAACTGAGTATTTAATAAATTGTAATTATATAAGTATTGATTCTAAGAGTATTATAAGTATTATAAAAGTTTCATTAATTGTATTTAAAAGTGATTGCCGCATATTTTAAAAATTAAAGTTGTATTTGGGCCGCTTTTGATTTTGAGTGTAAATTCTTTAAAAATTATTTAAGAATAACTTTTTATGGGTTTTACTAAACACAAATTTCAACTGTAAATGACTAAGGAATTAATTTTAGGCTCCAAAAATCATTACTACCCTACGTAAAAGTAAGTTGCTTATATTAAGATCTAAAAAGGAAAAAAAAAAAGAACATTTTGATCGGATACAAAAATACACCAAAGGTATTCATAAGTTCAGTCTAATTTAAAAGCTTTTCTAGCATGATTTTGATTGTGGTTTAATGGGTTTAAGAAATCCGCATTAATGTTAGAAGTTAAGGGGTTGTTATTTTACATTTTTAAGTTAGGGTGACTTAAGTAATGATCATGAGTTAAGTTTGAGTTATAATTTAAGTTGAAATTGTAACTTGAGTTTGTGTTTGGATGTGCATAAATTGAGAATTTATTTGAGTTTGTGTTTGGGTGGGTCAAAATTTAAATTTGTATTTAGATAGTATTTTAATAAAAACTCAATGGTGATGAAAAATTTAATAGGGTATATGAGTGAGGTTTTATTCGTATTTTTATTGTGAATGCATAGAAAAAAAATCTTCTTAATAAGAATTAAAATAAAAAAATCATGACATTTTTAAGAATAGAAAAATAATGTTTATTAACTTGAGTTCGATTTTATAAACTTGAATTGAAGATAAAATTTAATTTAAATTTAGTCTCAAACTTGAGTTCAAACTCAAATTTTATAAAATAATATAAACTTAAATAAAATTATAATTTGAATTTAAATTTTTTTAAAATTTTGTGACAAAAGAACAACCCTTAAAAGAAAGAAAAAAAAAAAAAAGAATGGGGAAAGGGTATTATTTGTGAGTTTAGTGGAGAAGAAAGTCAAATTGAGGAGAAGAGTGTGGAGATTAATTATGGGACCCAAAGCCAAAAGCCAAAAATGAAATTCACAACTACACATCACAACACATCATATTCATTAGCAATTAGCACACCTGTGTCCACCACAACAATAGCAGCTGAGGCCTCACATTCTCTGTTGTCTCAAAAAAAAAAAAAAAAAGTGCTCTTCAATGTCAGTGTAAGAGACCAATCATTCCACGCCACCTCACCCCACTACCTCCTGTAAAGCACGAACACCCCCAACAGTCTTAGCATCTCTCTCTCTCTCTCTCTCTCTCTCTGTGTTCGTTTCTCTCTCTCTCCCCCAAAACTAAGTCCTCAGCATCAAGAAAACCCCTTTTCTCCACCTCGCGTGTCGAAACCCTAGGACGAAGCCTTCGCAGAGTACACAGCGTTTCAGCTCTTCTTCTTCGAATGTGTTTCGCTCTCTGTAATTCGTCGAATCGAGGGATCTGAGAATCGGATTGAAAGCGCCGTCATTTCGAGCGTGGCTGAGGGAGGGAGAGAGGTAGAGAAATGTACGTGGTGCCTCCGCCGCAGCGCTCCGATCCGGCGTCGTCTGGATCGGCCATGGGTCCCGCCGATTTGAGGGTTTACCAAGCTTGGAAAGGCAGCAATGTGAGTCGAGTCTCCATTCTATTTTACTTTTCGGTTTTCGTCGTGATTAATTTACCAAGATTACGTTTTTTTGCCTTCGGATTAATTAGCATTTCAATAATTTTGATCCTGCTAGGAAAAGTAATAGAATTTGTCTATATATATAATTATTATTTTGAGGGTATTTGTGTCCCCTTAAGCTAAATATAATGTTTTTGTCTATTTTGTAGTAATTAATTTGAGAAATATTTAATAACTCCTGTGAAACTTTTGGTTTTGGATTGAGCTAGTTCAGTTTCCTTGTAAAGGTTTATTGAATATGATAGTTGGAATACTCTTTCTGGGTTCTGTTGACGATAGTTTCACAACTCTTATTATTGTTTTATGTCTGGATTTTGCATTCTGTAGTTCTCGTCCCAGTTACAATTACAGAATTTGCTAATTTGTTTTGGGATGTTTATGCCCCTTAACTAAATATATACTTTGGTGTATTTTATAAGTTAATTATTAAGAAATAATTCGAATAGCCCTGTTAAGCTTTGGTTTTGGAATAAATTTATTCAATTTTCTTTTGAAGTCCTATTGAAGGTGAAAATGATGGTGATAATACTTATTCCTGGTTCTGTTGAGGTTTTCACACGTCTAGTTTTTGTTTTGCAGAAATTCTTTCTTCAAGGAAGGTTTATCTTTGGGCCAGATGTGAGATCTCTGGGCTTGACCATATTTCTTATTGTTGCTCCCGTCACGATTTTCTGCATCTTTGTTGCCAGAAAACTGATGGATGACTTCGGCCATCACTGGGGGGTATTGATAATGGTTGTTGCTGTCGTGTTCACACTTTATGTGAGTTCTTTCCTTTGTTCATTGACAAAATTTTACCCTTTCATGTATGTTTGAATCTTGGAAATTTATATAAATCATAATGGATTGTTGGATGAAGCAATTTGTTTCTAGTGCTAGTTGCTCGTGCAATATATATTTAGTATTGGTGTATACAAGAATAGCTTGATTGTTTTCCGTAGTATTAGTATAGTTCCTTTACATGCTGGTAAGAAAGGATAGGGAGAGTGTCAGGCTCCGGATTAACATTTTTTTAGGTGCTTCCTTCTGGTGGGCATGGTTGTTTTTGCATGTGCTTGATTCAATGCTCACAGTTGTGCATAAAAACACTGATGTTCCCACCATATTTTTAGCTTTGATGTTGATGAAGACTAGAAAGTATTATTTTGTCACTTCATACATCTTGTAATGACCATGGCTAATGCTAAAGCTAAACAAATCTAAGATGACACGAATGTTCTTATTCTCAGGTATTGGTTCTTCTCCTGCTAACCTCTGGAAGAGATCCTGGTATAATTCCCCGCAATGCTCACCCTCCAGAGCCAGAAGGATATGATGGGAGTATGGATGTTGGGGCAGGACAAACTCCTCAGTTGCGCTTGCCCCGAATCAAGGAAGTAGAGGTCAATGGAATGACTGTTAAGATCAAGTATTGTGACACTTGTATGCTTTATAGGCCTCCTCGCTGCTCCCACTGTTCAATCTGCAATAACTGTGTGGAACGATTTGATCACCACTGCCCCTGGGTTGGGCAGTGTATAGGGCTGGTGCGTGCTTTTTTGTATGGTATCATGTCTTATGCTTGCTTTTCTAAGCATTCAAATTTATAAATTTGCATGCTCGTGTTATATGCAGCATATTGGGAAAAGGTTATTGAGGTTATATTTTTGCATTTTGTATCACTATATGTATGGTGGGTTTCTAATTAGTGGCTCAAGCCTGGATCCTTGAGAACACAATCAAAATGGTTTAGGAACTTCCTTAAGTCGTCTCTCATAATTGATCTTTTCTGGTTCTGTTTAAATTTGAAAAATAAACAATTCTTTTGAAGGGAAGAGAATGCAGAATGGTCTAACTTGTTTCAGAATATAATTGTTTAAAATGTATACATAATGTTTCAACTTTCTTCCCATGGCGTTGTTTTTAATCACTGTACCCATGGAAGATTCTTTTCTTTGATTGTGATCCTAGTGAAAGTGAAATTATTATTAATATGGTATTTGTCACTTATGAATGTGGACAGAATCTGAACAATCACTAATTTGGTTGCAGCGAAATTATAGATTCTTCTTCATGTTTGTCTTCTCAACGACCCTTCTTTGTATATACGTATTTGCATTCTGCTGGGTCTACATCCGGAGGATTATGAGCACGGAAGACACCACAATTTGGAAAGCAATGATCAAAACTCCAGCATCCATTGTGCTAATAGTTTATACTTTCATAGCAATGTGGTTTGTAGGTGGGCTTACTGCTTTCCATTTTTACCTCATCAGCACGAATCAGGTGAGAGATCCACCATGATGTCGCTCCTCTTTAGCTCTGAATTCTGTCAAGTTCTTTATTATCTGAAACACAAATTCTCTGTTTATGGACATTTGCTTTTGCAGACTACATATGAGAATTTCCGGTATCGATATGATAGGCGAGCCAACCCCTACAACAAAGGAGTCCTTGAGAACTTCAAGGAGATATTCTGCACAAGCTCTCCTCCATCCAAAAACAATTTCAGGGCGAAGGTACCGAGGGAAGCCGGGTTCCCTCCTGCTCGATTAGGCGGTGGAGGTTTTATGAGTCCAAACATGGGAAAAGCTGTGGAGGACATAGAAATGGGCAGAAAAACAGTATGGGGTGACTTGGGTGCTGGGGCCGATCATTTTGAAGGGCAGCTTAACAACAATGATCGGGTGAATGTAAAGGAAAGTGATTTAGGTGAAGTATCCCCGGACATAAGGACTACCGTCGATGAAACAGCAGATCGTGGTGGAATGCATCCCAGGCGATCCAGCTGGGGAAGAAAAAGTGGAAGCTGGGACATGTCGCCTGAAGTTCTTGCTCTTGCAGCTAGAGTGGGAGAACCAAACCGTGTGGGTGGGAGTACTAGCGGCACTTTTACAACTGAGGGCCGACAAGCATAACTGAAACACTGAAGACCGTCGGATGTTACACATTGGGGATCTAATTTTGGAGTGGTTATAAGGTTAGCCATCTGTGCACGTTGGGGATCTAATTTGGGGGGAATATGGAGTGGTTCTAAGGTTAGCCATCTGTGCTTTGTTCATTCAACTCTCGCATTGATATTCTGAGCAATGTGGGATTAACTCTTTTCTCTGGCTGGATGTTTGTAAGTTTGGTTTGGCCATTGTGCTTTTTTAGGAAGGAAATGGTGTTTGTATGAGTGAGCTTTTATTCAGCCTTTGATTTTTTTATTGCTGTTGTGGAATTAGTTAGCATCTAATTGTCTTGCAATTATGGAATTAGATCTCCCTCTCTTGGTTCTTTTTTCTTAGGGACAGTTATGTGCAAGTATATACATAATATAATATAATATAATATATATGTTTCAAGAATCATGCTTGAGAATAAGTCACCACCTTTCCTTTGCTAGCTTCAGCTGATGCGATACATGATTTATTGCTGACATTTTTTCCTTAACAGAAGTAGCTAAAAAATTTGAATAAAATGTACATATAATTTTTTTAAAAAAATTATCACGTCAAATGTTAGACAAAAGTTGATGAAACAAATTAAAGCACTATTCTTTCTTCCAAACAAATAGAGTCTCAATCCACTCTAGAGTGGAATGTTATTGTCAAACGGCAGGCAAGCCAGTGTCGTTTGTTTTTGTTTTTGTTTTTTTTTGTTTTTTTGTGGTGGCGCAAACTTCCAAAACGTGGAGTAAATAACTAGCCAGAACCCATAATGATCGCAATAACGACTTAACGGGATGACTGAGCAATCAATCTTTAAGGATTCAGTAAGAAAACTTTTGCAAGTAGAAAAAAAAAAGAAGAAATGAACAAAATTGAAAAAACTCAATTAATTTCCCAAGTAGCTTACACGTATACTCACGATCAAAAGAAAGGTACATCTATTTCTTGAGTTTTTTAACTTTAACATAAAAAATTAGAGAGTATAAGGGATTGTTGGGATTAGTTTTTTTTTTTTTTTTTTGGGTTAAAAGGGCATCTTTGTAATGTTGACACACACACACATATGCATATATATATATATATATATTAATATATGTATATACACACACACATCCACAAAGCATTGTTTTGCCAAAAAATACACGTATACTCACGATCAAAAGAAAGGTACATCTATTTCTTGAGTTTTTTAACTTTAACATAAAAAATTAGAGAGTATAAGGGATTGTTGGGATTAGTTTTTTTTTTTTTTTTTTTGGGTTAAAAGGGCATCTTTGTAATGTTGACACACACACACATATATATATATATATATATATTAATATATGAATGTAAGAAAAATTACAGGAAGTGTCAATGTAGTAATCCTATATATATATATATATATATTTTTTTTTTAAAAAGAGTCGAAGTGTGGGTGACTGGGTGTGAGGTAACTGTCTAGTCAACGAATTTCCTAGAGTGGAGTAGGCGGTAGAGTCAAAGGAGAAAAGCTGGCTTTTTTGTAACCCACAGTCTACTCTCAGGGACTCTTTCATAATTTCACAACCCCCTACCTTCCCAAAAGTTCTTTGTAAACAAAACAAAAATAATTAATAAAGAGTTTAAAAGAAGGAAAAACGAGACAGGTTCTCGGTTCAAAATCCTTGTTGCTAGAAATCTGTGCTGTATTGGGAAAGACTGATTTACAAAATCTGTCGTTAAATCCTATTTTCTCACAAGGGGGTTGAAAACATTAAATGTAGCATATAAAAATTGCAATTAAATAAAGAGATGAGATAGGGAATATAATATAAAATAATAATAACAATAATAACAATTCAACTACAGACTCCTCATATCTTCTAATTTCTAAAGCTCAAAGCTTCATTTTTCCATTCTTTTATTATTATAACTCTTTTTCACTTGACACAGTGAAGAAGACATTATAGTTTGGTGCTTCTCTCTAAGCCTCCTCAAAACCAATGTAGGATTTTGAAAATCTGGTGAACACAGGTGAGTTTTTTCCTTAACTTTTCAATGGTTCAAATCATGTTTTCCCTTTATCCCTGTATAATAAGTTTTATTTATTTCACACTTTTCCAATTTGTTCTAGTCCTCTTAGCCCCTTGAATATAATGGGTTGATTTTGGTTTTTTAAAATGTTTTTTTTTTTTTTCTTTTTTTTTTTTTTAGGTTTTGTGAAAAGACAGAGATATGTATAAGAATCAACTGCAGGAGCTTGCACAAAGAAGCTGTTTTAATCTTCCTTCATATGCTTGCATAAGAGAAGGGCCGGATCATGCACCAAGATTCAAAGCTTCTGTCAACTTCAATGGTGAGATCTTTGAGAGTCCAAGCTATTGCTCCACTCTTAGGCAAGCTGAACATGCAGCTGCTGAAGTTGCCCTCAATGTTCTCTCCACTAGAGGACCTTCTAGGTCCTTAACTGCTAGAGTTCTTGTATGTTGCTTTAACTTTCTTTTACTAATACTCCTATATATACATATATACATATATGCATATATATGTATGTATATGTATATGTATATGTATATATATTTTCTTTTCTTACTTTGTTCCATTAATCTTGGTTTAAGGATGAGACTGGGATTTATAAGAACCTCCTTCAAGAGACCGCCCACAGAGCAGGTCTAAGGCTCCCAGTGTACACCACAGTAAGATCAGGTCCTGGGCATGTCCCAACTTTCACTTGTACTGTGGAGCTTGCTGGGATGAACTTCACTGGTGAGTCTGCGAAAACCAAGAAGCAAGCTGAGAAGAATGCTGCTATTGCTGCCTGGTCTGCCTTGAACAAAAGTAACCACTTCTAATTCTTTCTTTCTTTCTTTTTTTGTTTTTGGTTAAATTGTTTTGTGTTTTTACTTGAAGCATTGATCAGATATTAGATTTATTTATTTATTTATTTATTTATTTTAACATTCAGTGCCAAGATTGGGTTCATTGACAACAAACAAAGTGGACTCAAATGAGGAACAAGAGAAGGCAAGTGTCACAAGGGTCCTCTCAAGTTTGAGACCAAAAGATCATGATGGCAACAAGCATATCAAGAGGAGGGATCAAAACCCACCAAAGAGAATCTTCAGAAGTACTCATCAAGGAGACAATAATCACATTCCTGATGAAAGATGGAAGCTTATGGATCTGCTGATGGATTTGGGTCAAGAAAGTTCATTGCAAAAACACATAAACTCCTTTGCATCTCTTCTCCCTCCACCTCCCCCTAGAACTGCTTCAAAGATATTACCACCATTACCAACAACAACAACTACAACTTTACCATCTCATAAATGTCCTCCTGCATACTCATCAAATAGGCCAATTCCAGTGCAAGTCAGAAGCAGATCATCACACATTACTCCCCCTAAATTGGATCAAGACCATCAAAAGGATGAGGAAGAATGGCTTAGTGGGAAGCTATCTACATATAACACTGGAAAGCTTGCAACTTTTGGAGCATGTCCAATGGCCTCATCATCATCATCATCAGGCATTAATAAGTTGATTAGTCACAATAATATTCCAAGAACAATGTACACCGGACAATTTCCTCATCCACACAGGATTGCCCCAGCTGTTCAGATCAGATCAGTGATCCCAGTATGTGCAGCACCACCACAATCAACAACAGCTAAAGAAACTTCAAAGTCAATCTCAAATGCTTCTTCTTCTTCTTCTACTACTTCTACTTTGGTCTCCACAGAACAAGGAGGAGGAGAGGTGTCATCAGCTACCTCCAAGTTCAGTAAGCTACAATTATGAGGATTTAAAAAAAAAATGTGATTATCTAAAGCAAACCCCATAATAAGAAGTTCTTTTTAAGAATTTTGCTTTGTTAATTGTTATGTTTTTTTGAGGGGAGAAGATGAGTGTTTTTTTGTTTTAAGGGGGTGTTATCTAAACTTGTATTTAAGTACCAAAGAGGGGTTAGTATAGAAATTAGAAGGGTCACATATACCATGGTTTTGCCTCATGGGTCAGTGATGGAATTTGATAAGCGACAATTGGGGTTTATGTATAATTTCAAACTTTGACATGTATTTACTTCAGAGAGAAAGCGGGTAGTAATAAATGAGATGTTGAGGAGTAGTTAGCAGAAGATCAGTGAGGGGATAGCTTAAAAAAAGTTGAGAATTCTACTATGGCTAGATTTTGTCAGTTTTATATGTTTTTTTTATTGCAACATAATTTTGATCATTTAATATTTGTCACCCGTAGAGTGCAATACTTTACCATAGAAAGCTTTAAAAATAAAAAATAAAAATAAAAAACAGAGAGAGAGAGTTTTGAGGTGTGGAATGGGGGCAGATAAGGGTAGCATTGAAGGCAAAGTGAAGAGGAGGAGCAGACAATAGTAGTGATAAACGCATTGCAATTAATTACTCGTTCAGAAATATTCAATGGTCCTCACTTCCACCATTAAATGCCTTCTGCCCTCCTTTCCTTATCTCCTTTCTCTCCTATTTAATACCCTCATTTTTTTTTTGACATTTATATATCATATTGCATGCTTCAAATATATTACCAAAAAAAAAAAAAAAAAAAAAAAAACCTAGTATCAGACTAACTAATTAGTATATTAAAACTGGTATAGGCTGATTTTCTTTTAGATTTTGTTGTGTGACAATTTCTTTAACTATTTCAAATATTAAATTTCCGTATGTATCACTTACCATTAACATTTGCTATTATATATACACATACGTATTGATTTTTGCGCTTCACTGTGAGTACACAGGTTTGGAAATTCAAACCTACTTGAACAAAAAGTAGCCGTTAAGCCAAGGGAACTGTCGGTCGGTTGGTCAAAGAATAATTTGGATAAATACTTTTTAAAAGTATATGAGTAAAAGCTTTTTCTTTTTATTCTTGATTCATAATTTTTTTAGTTAAATAATTATATTAATAAAAAGGTATTTATAATAATAAAGGATAAAAATTTAGATTTATTATCTCAGGTAAATTCTCAATTTTTTTCTTGATAAAAATGTCGTTAAATGCCTAAGGCCATGCTGTGGCCCATATTGGGACCATGAAAAACATACTTGGGCCTAAAACAAAGCCCATGAATAGAGGGCATTAAAAGTCAACGTACGACGTTGCAAGCTAGAGACGTTGATGTGTGGTGGTCATGACAGGGTTGGGAGGTAGGGATGACTTCGGTCTTGATGGGCATCAATGGACGACTCTGTCGGTTAATATGATCTTTTTTAATTAGGAAACTCTTACGGTTAGAATTGCTGTTTTATTCTACCCGTAGAAACTGTTACTTTAAGCGTTCAATTAATTTTTCAACGATTTTATTAAACTTTTAATGTGGACTGTTGAAAAACTAACATAATAATTGAAATAACAATACTCACTGATAAGATAAAATAACAATTCCTACTTAAAAGTTATCATTTTACAATCACACCTTATCAAGTTCTAATTTATTCAATTCATTGAAAAATGTTTTATTTCATTTGATAAAAATGGTCCATAAAATGAACAATATCGATGAATGGTTAGTTTTATAACATTAGCTTTGATTATTTTATTCTGTGTTACTATTACTTCATATTTTCCTACAAATAGAGATAATTACCAATTGCGAAATTTTATGGCTAATCTGTCATTTCAAAAAAAAAAAAGTATATATATAATTACTTGTGATAATTAATGATCATGCGGCAATTACTTAAAACTTAAAAGAAACAATAGAATCACTAAAATCACTGTTATTTATAAAATTTATTTTTATAGGTAATATAAAAAAATTTAACCTTTTTTGTTTTGTTTTATATACACAATTATTTTTTTTCCCCCAAAATGGGTACTTATGTTTCTGGACCAGAAAAACGTAGATGTGTAATTAAGAGAGGCACGTGGAAGTTATGGAAGTTTTTGAAAAATAGTCCCACAAAATTCATACATATTTTTTTCGAGATTTTTAGTTAATGACCCTTTCAGAAAAATAAATAAAAAAAGAGAATGACCCTTTTAGAATTTCTTAAAGAAATCATCATGTTTGTTCTACTTGCTTGACCAGATCCAAAATGGTTTTAAATTAAAAAAAAAAAAAAAACTAACTGTGTTACATTTACTGAAAATTGGTGTGTGTATGTATATATAAACCTTTGAGACCTCTGACTTAACCATTAATTCAAGTCTGGGCCAATGTAAAAGTTGGAATCTTTTGACCTGAACATAAAGATTCATAGCAAAATGCAAAGTATTTATACAAAATGATTATTTTTTATACTTCATGTTTAGAATATGTATTTAATTTAATAATATTATTAGATTGTATATTTTATAGTTATTAAAATAATAATATTTTAAATATTTTTTTTGGGTAGTTATAGGTGGTTAATAAGAGATAGAAATGTTATTACGGGTTATTTTATAAATTTATGTGTAAATATTGAGACCTTTGTAAAAATAACTTTTTTGAAAAGTTTTATTAGTACAATAACTTTTCAAAAAATTTTATTTGCAAAATGACCTCATTTTATAAAAAATGAGTAAATGTCTTTCTTCATGAAAAATAGAAGAATATCATTTTACTAATTTCATTTTGTTAGAAAATCATTCTAGCATATTGCCGTGAATATCACAACTTGTAGGCATTTATTTATGTTTTTATCATATGCATAACATAAAAGAGATATATGTAACTAACTCAAATGATTAAAGTAGAGTTATTTTGAATTCTTGATGGGCTGTGATAGTTGAGAGGGTAGTAGCGGTTGGTGATCTATTGCCCCAAAACAAAAACAAAAAAAAACAAAAAAACAAAAAACAAAAACAAACCTTAAGATCAAAACTTATTTAAACGTTTCCTTTCTTTTCCCTATTTGCTGGCTAAACTAATTAACATGGTTCAGAGTTTTCTCTTCGTATACAGTAGTGGTGAGTAGAGGTGTCAATTGGACGACCCAGCCCAACCCACTACAACGATCAATTCAGTACGGTCCGACTCTATACTGTTATGGACCGGGCTAGCCCAGCACGCTAGAAGGGGCTGGACCTCATGTTTGACGCCCGCAGTCCAGGCACGCGAAGGGCCAGGCACTGTCTAGGCCCGCGATATGGAATTTTAATGAGGTTTAAGGCATTTTAGTGCCAACCGGTCGACCTATGTCGTTTGGTCAACTAGTCATTTTCTTATAATTATTCATATAATTTCAATAAAATCACATTTTTTAGGACATATAATATATTACGTTTTTGTCATCAAATATGAAATTATAAAAAAATCATAAAAAAATTATTAATCATAAGTGAAACTCAAGTGCATTAAGAAAAATAGGTTAAAATTGAGTTTTGAGAGGAATTTAATGTAATCTGACAGCAGAGAAGTTGTAAGCCATCGGTCGACCAGGGCCTGCTCAACGGCCATAAATTGGACTATTGAACATGGCCTTTAGTAGGTAAGGCCCAATAACGTCATAAAGGGCCGACCCTATGAAGGTCCTGCAGGACCATTAGTAGGGCCGGCCCAATGAACGTCCTGCAGGACCATTAGTAGGGCCGGTCCTATGAAGGTCCTGCAGGACCATTAATAGGGCCGGCCCTATGAAGGTCCGGCAAGACCATTAGGAGGGCCGGACTTATGAAGGTCCCCCAGGGCCATTAGTAGGGCCGGCCCGAGGAAGGTCCTGTAGGGCCATTAGTAGGGCCGGCCAGAGGAAGGTCCTGCAGGGCCATTGGTAGAGCCGGCCATAGGAAGGTCATGTATAGCCATTAGTAGGGCCGACCTTAGGAAGGTCCTGCAGGCCCATTAGTGGGGCCGGCCCTAGGAAGCACCTGCAGCGCCATTAGTGGGGCCGGCCCTGAAGGTCTTGCAGGGCCACTAGTAGGGCCGGCCCTATGAAGGTCTTGCAGGGCCATTAGTAGGGGGCCGGCCCTATGAAGGTCCTGTAGGGCCATTAGTAGGGGGCAGGCCTTATGAAGGTCCTGCAGGGGTAGGGTCGGCCCATTGAAGGTCCTGTAGGGCCGTTGGTAGGGCCGGCCTATTGAAGGTCCTGCAGGGCCGTTGGTAGGGCCGGCCCTGTGAGGGTCCTGCAGGGCTGTTGGTAGGGCCGGCCCTGTGAGGGTCTTGTAGGGCCATCAGTGGGGCTGGCCCTGTGAGGGTCCTGCAGGGCCGTTAGTGGGGACAGCCCTATGAGGGTCCTGCAGGGCCATTAGAGGGGCCGGCCCTATGAAGGTCCTATAGGGCCATTAGGGGGGCCGGCCCTATGAAGGTCCAGCAGGGCCATTAGGGGGGCCGGCCCTATTAAGGTCCTCCAGGGCCATTAGTAAGGTCGGGCCTATGAAGGGCCTGCAGGGCCATTAGTAGGGCCGGACTTGCGAAGGTCCTAGTAAGGCCGGCCCTATGAAGGTCCTGCAGGGCCATTAGTAGGGCCGGACGTATGAAGGTCCTGCAGGGCGATTAGTAGGGCTGGTCGTATGATGGTCCAACAGGGCCATTAGTAGGGCTGGTCCTTTGAAGGTCCTACAGGACCATTAGTACTACCGGCCTTATGAATGTCATGCATGGCCCTATGAAGGTCCTGCAGGGCCATTAGGGGGCTGGCCCTATGATGGTCCTGCAGGGCCATTTGGGGGCCGGCCCTATGAAGGTCTTTCAGGCCCATCAGGTGGGCCGACCCTATGAAGGTCTTGCAGGGCCATTAGTGGGGCCGGCCCTATGAAGGTCCTGTAGGGCCATTAGTGGGGCCGGCCTTATGATTGTCCTGCAGGGCCTATAATAGGGCTTGCCCGATGCAGGTTTTGCAGGGCCGGCCTATGATGGTCCAACAGGGACATTAGTAGGGCCAGCCCCATGAAGGTCCTACAGGACGATTAGTAGTGCCGGCCCTATGAAGGTCGTGCAGGGCCATTTGTTGGGCCGGCCCTATGAAGGCCCGACAGGGCCATTAGGGGGCCGGCCCTACGAAGGTCCTGCAGGGCCATTAGTAGGGCCAGACCAATGAAGGTCATGCATAGCCATACGAAGGTCCTGCAGGGCCATTAGGGGGCCGGCCCTATGATGGTCCTGCATGGCCATTGGGGGCGCCGACCCTATGAAGGTCTTTCAGGCCCATTAGGGGGGCCGGCCCTATGAAGGTCCTG